TGTGTATGTGTGTTGTGTGTCCTGTGAGTGTGAAACACAGAGAGAGAGAGAGAGAGAGAGAGAGAGAGAGAGAGGGGGGGGAGAGAGTGTGTGTATGTGTTTCTAAATTTACCTTTTTCAGTTTGCATGTTCAGCTTAGTATGGCCCTTATATCAGCAGTAAAGGGAGCGTTTTAATGTTCCTTTTGTCAAATCAATTGAGATCGTGACCTAAACTAAAAAAGTACACAAAAAGCTTCTCTGCAATTTTAGTCTAGAAAAGTTTAAATATACAAAAGTTCAACACTATCCGCTACCATCATTTTTAAAGAGCTGCTGTGATAAATGCAAGGAAAAACAAACGATGTAGAAACATTTCATGTGCTTACGGTGTTGAGGTCTGACACTGTCGTTTTTTCCGGATAGACCACGGCGATTTTGTTCTGGGAGAAGTCCATAGACAAGTTTACCTGTACCTGAAATAAACGATGATAGACAGGATCAATTCAAATCCCAGTATACTTTTTCCATTCAGGCTACAATCTAGATATCCTCAGGTTTCCAAATTCAAATTGAGGTATACAATTATCTCATTTTTTAAAGAGAACTGACAAAAACTGACCTTCTAGAGTAGGAGTAAGAGGGCCAAGGATAGAAAGATACAAGGATAGAAAGATACAAGGATAGAAAGATACAAAAGAAGTTTCTCACCATCTAGATCTAGTATAATTATTAAGTCTACGGTCGGAATAAACATCAATGTGTATAGCGGTTTCGATAATACACAATATTGTATCTATCCAACTCTAAAAGTCTTGTGATGAATTTGTGCATGTAGTTGAATGGTGCATCTGATGTGATATGTGTATAATTGCCAGTTTTAATTTTCTTTTCATATTGAACTTTAATGAGAGAAATATAATACGTTTTCATTTCTATGTATACATGCGTGTGTTTTACGGTCCTGTAAAGCCAAGAAAAATTCCCACTGGGACAATAATGTAGTATCTTATCTTTTTTTTAATCTTAATTCCAAAAAGGAGGAACTACCAAACAATGAAATCGTGTAACCAATGGTAAGTAAATCTAAAAGCAAACTGAGAAAACGATGAAACATAATATAATTATAAATAAAGAAACTGCTGACAACTATCAACATGTTCTATATGAAAATTGACTAGCGCAATATGCATGAACTATTGAAGTACATTTAAATATCAACAAGCAATAGCGCCTCCAAACTTCACAACCTTGGTCCTAAAATCTCGGCCCTTGCACCAATTAAGGTAAAAAGTAAAGTTGTTCCCGCATCCGATCCGGACATTGGTGATTGCCTTGTTAGTGAGACAACTTCCTGGGCCTTCAGCATAATGTGGTAGGGTGGCCAGTTCCTTTTCACGTCGCCTTTACTTCCCCAACTCGAAGTCAGGTACCCGCTACTGCTGGGTGGGCAGGAGGGGGCGAAAAAAAATCGTGTCCGAACCGAGGCTCGAACCCGGATTGGCCGCTTCGTAGACGAGCGCACTAACCGCTCCACCACTGCACCTTAGAGTCAGGAGCTCAGATGAGAGGGAAATGGGACGGGGAAGAGGGCACAAAGTGGAGATGAAAGCAGACAACAGATCATGGCTCATGAGCGGCCGGAAGGGAGGTGTAAGGAGAGCATTTTAGAGAAGAACATTTGGTTGCTTTTAAGCACAAGGGGGCTATCCCGAAAAATGCTGTTTTAAGAAAATCGAAGGTAAAGTTTTTGCCCTTTGTTCAGTTTCTTTTTTTTTAAAACAAGAACCGTTTTCTCTACAACCAAACAAATATACACACCAATAAAACCAAACTTCTGCAAAAGGTAGGGCAATGCCCACCTTTGGGGTAGGTCAAGATTTCAGGAAACCCCCGAAATCTGGGTAGCCCGCTTGTCCTTAAAAGTGACATTTTTCGTCGCTGTCATATCAGGTTTCAAACCCGTGACGTTCTGAGAGCCCCTTGAAACTATCTGCATTATTATTTGTATTACTTTTAACTAAAAATGGTTACTTACCTGTCTTGACAAGCTAAAGCCGCGTAGGGTCATCTTTTCTGGAAAACAGATGGTGGTGGGGTCTGGGGCAGCCACAGTGTAAGCCACAGGGGCCACAAGGAGAAAGAGAGCCAGGAACTGCATGCTGGGAAATACAGGGAATAGGAAATGTTATATTGTTTTCAAGTATTCATTTCTACAATTTTTTTCAACACAAATTAGATCAATTTCGAAGGCAGATATCCGACCCCGTCTGCCAGGGCCAACCCGGGTGTAGTGGGATATAACACCCAGCAGAAAGACCAAGACACCCGATGAAAATTTTCACCCACTCGGAAGTTGAACTAGGTCTCCTGTGTGTGACAGTAAATCTTCTAACCGCTACACCAATGACCCCAGAGAAAGGATATTATTTAATACAAGAAATGAACAATCGGAAAGAATTGTATCCACGCAGAAAAATACGTAATACAAAGGTAATATTATAATACATACACAAATACAACCATTGCATACGAATCAATATTAGAGGCAATAGAAATACGTTAAAGTGCAGCATCTCATTTTTCTGTACAATATAAAATTTGATGTTGGATACTGGAAGAATAATTTCAGGTTTTAAAAAGGGAGCTAACAACAAAAGCACCAAAAAAAACCCAGATTAAGTTGATCCCCCTGGTACGCATGTTTTGATGACACAGTTTAGTGATGCCTCTCGAACCGTCAGCGCTTCGAGCTGACAACACCAGATGGTCGTGAGCAAGAGGAAGACCAAGACAAACTATTGTGTCTTTATCACGACACTTGCCTGGCCTCACACTGACGACTGCATCCCCCC